GTCATGATTCTGTGATTCTTTTATTTTCCTGCCTTCTGGATGTTGTGTTTACTTGGGCTCTAAATCTCCTGTGCGCTCTTTGTGCAATGCATGGTGTGCTCAGTGCAAAAAGGTCATCAATCCACCTGGTATTTTGAAGTTCTAAGGTTGGAGGTGGCTACAGTTATGACTTAATGTCACTTCCATGAGCTAAAGCCTGCGTTTCATGATGCTGCACCTACTCTAATAACTATCGATTCTAGGAATAAATAAGTAATATATTCAGTCTTTCACTGCTGCCAGTCTGAAGTATAATGAATGACTGCAGGGGGTAAAAAGAGAAGGGGAAGGGAATGAATAGCATCAGAGATGACTAAGGTATGGTCCTAGCTTCCCTCTGGAGATTCAGCTAATCACCTACACACAGTAACCTGACTCTCTCCAGAGCACATCATCTACCTTTACACTGGCCTATTTAGGCTGACATGCATTCCCCTGAGATAGGCTTCCAGATAGAGTTAGGACTGTGGAAGGTTTGTCAGTATCAGCTGCTTTGGCACATTTTGTGAATTTTATGGTACAGGAAAGGCTTTGCAACAGTGGCTGCACCCTGATAGTCCAAGTCTGATTGTAGACTATATTTGTACTGTTAAATGCCTTGGGAATTGCAGTCCAATTTTTGTCCCTCATCATAAGTGGGGAGGGAGAATGTGTCTATTAGTCCCAGAACAGGCACAAAGACATATTTGGAACAAATGAATGTCAAAGGACATCTCTGAGTACTTCAATACAGCCAGAGTGAGTATTTGTAAGTGGTCAGTTCAGCCCAGAATATCAACGCTATTTGCATGGGACTTATTGATTTAAATTATTTTCAGTGTTTTTCCTTTGACTAAAATATTGATCTTAAGCTAATTACCTATTACTAAAGGTGACTGTAAAGCTGAAGTTGTGCATTTGGGAAAGGGACTTAAATGTGACCAGGAGTTCATGCCTTATAACTGAAGTTTAATTAGAAACAGAATAAGATTGTCACAGGTCTAAAACTTTAAATGCACTTTTACTGTTAGAAGCCTTTAATAATAGAAATAAAGAAGACAAAATTGTTTTTAATTCAAATATCTGCTCAAGTGAAAATATATATATATATAATTCCAAAGCAACCGACAAACAGCCTTTTTGTTTTCTGTTACTTTCAGTGTTATACAGATTCCAGCTAATGTATTTGAAATTGATAATTAATACAGATTGGTAAGAAAGGAATAGTAGCTTCTCCTTGCATGTACATCTCTGTGATATGGCCTATGTGATTTTTTGATTCTAATTTATTGCTTCATGAAAAACATGATGGAGCCCATGACACCGGGAGCAAAACATCCAGGAAAAGCATAGCAGACCCAAAGAGTCTTTAGCTAAAGAGCAAAGTACACTGTCAGAGCTTAATGCAGAACTGTGCCCAGTGCTTCCCACAGAGCAAAATTCAACTAAAATAAATAATTAATGGTATTGGACTTTGGTTTAGAAAACTATGTCTGCCCTAGTCTGTTAGTGGCATTCTACAGTGAGTAATAATGAAGGGACAGGCTTTCTAATTCAGTAGCATTTCTCCAGTTAGAAGTGGTGAGGGATGAATTTGTCACATATAGTGTAACAAGAAGCCACACTAATGAGCTCTCTGTATCTGTGCTGTCTGTGTGCGGGAGGATTAAGAGAATTATAGTCCTAGAATGCCAGTATGCAACACTCCAGTTTTCTCAGTGCTCAATCCAAAGATGTTGGGTGCTATCCAACCTGAATTTTGCCTTCCTCTTCTTTTACCATAGAAGGGTAACTCTTACCCATAGTGCCATACATTTGCAATAAGCGAGATACCGTTTTCTGACTACAATCTTATGGTCTTCCAGAACTTCTTACACAACAGCACAGAAGAGATTTTTGGAAGAGTTGGACAGATGAGGGCTCTTTAAAGAAAACCTCTGAGGGAACATTTCTTCTTGCTGAGGCTGGCAGTGTGCAGTGTCAGCAGCGTCAGCAGCTGAAAGAGGCCCAATCCAAAGTAAATTGAAATTACCATGAAATCACTGAATCCGTGATGTTTGACGCTAGATAGCCAAAGCTGTTCAGTTATATTAATTTACATTAATTCCCTGTAATAACTGACAAACTAATTTAAAGCTGAATATAGTGTATAATGATTAATAGGACTATTGCAGGCACTTTGACCTAAAAAACATATAAATGCTAATAGTGACGTATAAGGGCTTTTTGGTCCTACATGACATTCAGAAAAGATGTGGTAAGTGCTGAAGAAGATCACTGTGAACAGTTATATCTGGAAGGAACTGAGTCATGTCGCTGCCCTTAATGTCTTGGTCAGAGGATCATTCTTGGAGGCAGATGCATTTAGCACCATTGTGACAGCCATGTGATCCACAACCTTGGCTGCATAAGACCTAAATTTGGAAAGACTGACTGCTTTTGAACCGTGTATGAAAAGAAGCAGACTTGGGGTGTTCCCAGGATTGTCTTCTTGCTAACACCCTCCCCTGAGAGGCCTATTCACAGGCTTTGGGTGGGCTCAGAACAAGGGCAACCTGTATTAGTGAGGCCAGTAAAGCCCTTCTATATTTTTGTTAGCAGCAAGTTGTTTAGGAGCTTTCTGTGCCATGATTTGTCAAAGAACTCAAACTGCTTAGTCTTCTTATGGACATTTTCTTGACCTATCAATCAGGGGGGCTCTGGGAATAGAAGAGCAGTGATTCTTAACAGAAGAACAGAAAATGGAGCAATAAGGAAAGGTAAGCCAACTTCTTTGTTTGATTTCTTTTGTGAAATGAGACAAAAGGAGAGAGAAAAAGATATTGATCAATCTAGACTAGGAGAGTGAATAGTCTGACACAATGCATTTTCAACTCATTTCCTTGAAGAAGAGATTCTGGTGCTGCCATTTTCCCTGTTTTATAAAATATCCCTATGCTGTTTGATGTCAGTTTGGAATGCTCTTACATTTACCCCTTTTGACCATGATGCACAGTATGAAATGGGCTAAAGATAAGAAACAGCACTTTAAGAACCAAGTTACTTCTGCCTCCTCTCTTGTTTCTGGCATCTCTGTTGCTTAAGTTTGTTATTTTCCTTGTTCTTCAGATTTCCAGAATCTCCTATTTCTTTTTTTCCTGCCAGCTCTTACAGAGATGGAGAAATGAGTAGCATAGAATGATATTCATTAGATAGACTTCACAGTTATTGAAATAAAAAAAGGAGAGTCCAGCAAAGAGGTAAGTTTATGGAGACTTGTATTCCAGTCTGCTTTGCTAGAGACTTTATGGATGACCTGCATTTAGCTTAGCTGCATCTGAATTGTACGAAAACAGAGATGGAGAGTATGTCTCTACTTTTTGGAGATCTTATGAGGCTAAACACAAGCGTGTGGTGTTCAGTACTTTGAGAACAGGAGTTACATAAGTACTCTGGATAGGTGTATTAATCATGTATCTCTGATTGCATCTCCTGAACAATCTGTCTCACCAGGACTCAGCTGATACCAAGCAGCTTTTAGCATCTATCACAGTAAATACAAACCCCAGAAACATTTTCTTTGAGATATCTTTGAGAAACAGAGTTTACATGAACTGAATTTATGGTTAAAATATAGTGTTTTATTGCTCACAAAAATTGGATGGGCTCAACACAGGTCTTGATAATGCAATAATAAATATCAGCATTTGGCAACTCACAGATACAAATGTGAAGGTACTATTGATTTTCCTTATTTATTTTGGCATACAGTCCATGTCCTAAGGTGTCGACATGATTAAAAAAAAGCAAGGCAGATTTGAGAACAGTTTCCTATGTTTAATGCAGAAAGGACAGCAAAACATGTATTTTGCCATCAAAAACTACCTTGTCTTATTTTAATCTAGCAGGTTACCTAGTTAGCTCCCATCACAATTATCTTCTGAGACACAGTGCTATCAGGAGGGCTTAGTGGAACATTCAGTTTAGTGAGTGCTGCACTATCAAAGTTTTGTTTACCTTTTAAAAATGGTCTTGTTTTTCATTCGCATTCTATTGTACACAAGCACAGATGCAGTGTACACAATGCATTGCAATTAACAGAGAAAAGTCTGAAGAAGGCTGAACACAGTCTTACAGCCTAAATCCATCCTGACTGGCTCAGAAGGGAAATGTGGGTACTGCTACACTCTTTGGGAAAAACTTTGCTTTGATTAGCCTTATTGGTCACTGAGGATCCTTTTTAATTCTAATGAAATACAGCTGCAGGTGCCTTTTATCTGTATATAAATAAGAAGCTTGTTAATGCTGAAAATTCCTGAGGGACTAGCTTGTGTGCTCAGGGTTTCTCTTTGATACCTAAAGCAACAATAAATAATTATTTATGTCCTATGTGCAGGAAGAGAACAGAATGTCTGCACTCATTGAATGTATCTGACATAAATTTCCATGCTGAAAATGTCTCTTTTGCATCTGTTTCCTAAATTTGGACTAGTTAAATTCATGAGCCAAACTTGGCCTTTTTAAAAGCCTTGGTGCGTAATGTAATTCCCTGAGGTATTTTTTCCAGAGGTTTCTCATGCAAATCAGGGGCACTCCATTTTGAACTGCTGACTAAATATTACAGTGTGGATGCACTTAAGTCTTCAGATTCAATTACTAGAAACAACCACTTTACCTGTAACTACTTTTATGGCCTTTATCTCTAACAAGACTAAGTTGATTCACTTGAAGTTTTAGATGTTGCTTTTTAATGTAGCACTAGAATTTTTCCAAAGAGTTTCAGACAAAAAATGTAAGATATCCATGGGTAGAGTAAATATAACTCCTTTCACTTTTGAAAGATATATTTAAATGCTTTCTTGGTTTATATGTCCTCAATGAACTTCTACTTAATGGAACAGGCCATTGCAGGTTTTGAGCAGATGATAAAAATAATAGAAGAACACATACACTGTATCAGAACATCATGACAGCATAATCAGAAATACATTTTGCAGTATATAGAATAATCAGAAATGCATTTTGCAGCATATAGACTGGTTAAATGTTTTACAATCTATCAGATATTGCTTACAACTGGAAAGAACTTTGCTTCACTCATTATTCAGTAGATAAATCAGTCATACCGTGTTCTGAAACTCTTTTAAGGAAACATTTACAAGAGTGAAAATGCAGCGGTTTCATATATCATTTAAAGACTGTAACAACTGTAATTGGCACTGCCATGTATGTAACATCAGAAACATTTTATTAAAACTATTAAAAAAATAGGAAAATATTATTTCATTCTGTATGGGTTAAGACTTGTTATATCTGTAAAAAGTAAAGTTTTTTTTTTATTTTCTGCATGGTATAGATTGCTGTAGTCAGCAAAGATATTTCATTAATTTTATTGCAGTAGTTAAGGGAAAAGAAATTACGATTAAATGGAGGAAATCTTATCATAAGTCGTAAACTTTTCCACTGAAACTCTTTTTACTCAGGATGTGTAAAAGTCCAAAACTGTAACTTCTCATAGAAAAACCTCAGTTTCAATACAAATGAGAAAGCAAAGAAAGAATACTGTAATAGACAGAAGACACCAGCCTGGATGCAGAAAACAAGTTCCTGAGGTGAATGATGAGAGAATTCAACCATATTGTTCAAACCATTCAGTGAAGCACCATGTCTGGGAGAATTTTACTGTTCTGCTTACTCTTATTTGTGATTTAAGTTAAGGACTCTGAAAGTGATGTTTTTCTTCCTCTTGGAGGTAAAGAGACATATGGTAAATCTGGAAGTGTTACAAAACAATAATATGAGCAACTACTTTTATTTTACTTCAGTGGCTTGAAAAAAACTGGCAAAATATTTTCAAATACTGTTTTATTACTAAATGCAATTGATTCTATACCTCTCTTGGGGAAAGATTTTGCCTGGCAAAATTTTGCAACAGATTCTCCTGAAAGGCATACTAAGGCAAATGAAAAACAACAAGATACTTGGTGACAGACAGCAGGGCTTCACTAAGGGGAAATCCTGCCTGACCAATTTGGTGTCCTTCTATGATGGGGCTACAGAACTGATGGACAGCGGTAGAGCAGTTGATGTCATCTACCTGGACTTGTGCAAAGCGTTCGGCACTTTCCCGCGTGATATCCTTGTCTCTAAATTGGAGAGTCATCAATTTGATAGGTGGACCACTCAGTGGATAAAGAACTGGCTGGATGGCTGCACACAAAGAGTTGTGGTTAATGGCTCAATGTCCAGGTGGAGACCAGTAACGAGTGGTGTCCCTCAGGGATCGGTGTTGGGACAGGTTTTGCTCAGCGTCTTTGTCAGCGACATGGGCAATGGGATTGAGTGTGCCCTCAGCAAGTTTGCCGATGACACCAAGCTGTGTGGTTCAGTTGATACGCTGGAGGGAAGGAATGCCATCCAGAGGGACCTTGACACGCTTGTGAGGTGGGCTGATGCCAACCTCATGAAGTTTAACCATGCCAAGTGCAAGGTCCTACACCTGGGTCGGGGCAATCCCAGACACAGCTACAGGTTGGGCAGAGAAGAGATTCAGAGGAGCCCTGTGGAGAAGGATCTGGGGGTGCTAGTTGATGAGAAAATGAACATGAGCCAGCAGTGTGCGCTTGCAGCCCAGAAAGCCAACCGTATCCTGTGCTGCATCAAAAGGAGGTGATCCTGCCCCTCTACTCTGCTCTCGTGAGACCTCACTTGGAGTATTGTGTGTAGTTCTGGTGTCCTCAACATAAAAAGGACATGGAACTGTTGGAACAAGTCCAGAGGAGGGCCACGAGAATGATCAGGGGACTGGAACACCTTCTGTATGACGACAGGTTGAGAGAGTTGAAGGCTGCTCAGCCTGGAGAAGAGAAGGCTGCATGGAGACCTCATAGCAGCCTTCCAGTATCTGAAGGGGCCTATAGGGATGCTGGGGAGGGACTCTTCATTAGGGACTGTAGTGACAGGACAAGGGGTAATGGGTTAAAACAAACAGGGGAAGTTTAGATTGGATATAAGGAGGAAATTCTTTCCTGTTAGGGTGGTGAGGCACTGGAATGGGTTGCCCAGGGAAGTTGTGAATGCTCTATCCCTGGCAGTGCTCAAGACCAGGTTGGACGAGGCCTTGGGTGAGATGGTTTAGTGTGAGGTGTCCCTGCCCATGGCAGGGGAGCTGGAACTAAATGATCTTAAGGTCCTTTCCAACCCTAACTATTCTATGATTTTATCATTCTATAAAAGGGAAATTATGGGGGAGAAAATGTGGTGTGAGTACATAAAACCAGGTAATACTGAACTGTTTGCCTGAAACACTGTAACTTTCCTCACTGGATGTCAACAGAGTCCTTAGATGAGCAAGGGAAGAGGATAGGGATCACTCTTTCATAGCCTTTCAAATTAACCAGATCACTTGAGTCACTGTGCTTCGTACTTGTTACAAATTAGCCCTGCTTGCACACTTTACTAGCCTTATACAGAGCATGTCCAATGGTGCCTTGAGTTTCATTTCAATGACAATCTTGCATGGTTATGACATTCCATTTGTCTACAACCAGTTTCCTGAGATAAGGCCTGAGATTGTCACATGAAATAGAACGTCTGTGGGCAAACCTACAAAAAAAAATAATTGTTCACTTCACCCTTTTTTGTCTGACTTAGTTTCTTTGATGCTAACTAAAACCAATAATGATGTCACTTCAACACCAACTATGTTTTTATGCCTCAGCAGGTAATTGGAAATGTCTTGTACAAGTTGAACTTCATCAGCTGAAAACACTGCCTCCTGGGTCAACTTTGAGAAATGGTGGCTTAAATGGCACTTTCAAATGAACACTTCTTTCCTATGTTGCATAGACAATGAAACCAAGAAAAGTGAGAGCTGATCCATTTTTCTTCCCATGCATTGTAAAAAGAACTTCTTCCATTGCTGCAGGTGGACACACCAATATGAACCCTTCCCCTTCCAGGTGTCTGAGACAGCCTAATGGCTTAATTCAGGCTACAGGCCATTTCTTAGGGGCAAGAAAAGGAAGAGAAATTGCCTTACAGCTTTGAAAGTGTTGTAAGTATTATGCTGGGGGAAATCCTCAAGACTAAAAATATGTAGAAGGACAACAATATATACTAATCCAGTAGAGGAACAGTACCTTTATAGTATGAGTTAAGAATCCTGAGTTTTGGTATAATGAACATACATATATATATATATGTATATATATAAAGGGATCTTGTAATAATTCAAATGCATTTTTGTAAAAACAATAACTTTTTGCTATTCACTAGAATGTCATACACAAAAATATGAAAGCAAGTGTAAAAGTTTACAACTCTACTCCCTACTCATAAAGCAGAACATAAACGAATTCATTCATCTACTTTTCATGAATGTTTGTGTGACGACCAAGGACATTTTTACAGGTTTCCATGCAATCTGTGAGTGTGAGTCAGTTGATGCCTGAGTTTGACTGGTTTAGTTCTTTTCAAAAGGTAGTTAGCTCTAATTCTGTTTTAAATAAAAATGAAAAGATGAATTTTGCAATAAATAGTTGGAATATTAAAGGCAAAAAGGGAGATACAACTGGCATTCAAGCTAAAAAGACTTCAGCCTTTGAAATGCAAACTCTGGCAAGGAGCAATCACAACAGTGGGATTAGCAACTGGATTAATGTTTTAGCTGTCTTTTGTTCATTTGATCTTATTGTATTCTGATTACAAGAGATGATGAGAAATGTTGCTTATTTGTGTGTAGTTCCCTATTTAATTTAAAAGGACATAAAGGAATTTTCTTCTATTTTATTGAGAGAACTTTCGGTAATTTCCTCAAGGAGAAATCAAATTAAGTCTGCCCAGGCAATGAATTCACAAAATGAAGATTACAAATATATCTGGGGAAACATGAGAGTGGACAGACCACTCTGCACAGGGTTTCAGCATGCTCAGCATCCAAATAGTCTCAGGATATAGAAGTCATTTTGATGAAGGACTCAGACCAAAATGAAACCTAGAAGAATAGAGTGTTTCTGTGTGCTGACATTTTCAAGAGTTCCAGCAAGTTACCACTCCTCCTAGAAGAACACTTTGCTGGGTATTTTTAACCCTGCTAAATATGGTGTTATGCTAGGCTACAATGGGCTGAGTAAAAACTCCCATTTGTCCTTTTCACTCAGTCAAAGAATCCTGGAAGATAGAAGATTATACAGTGATCTTCTATGTATTAAATTTAAAGAGTGTTAAGAGCCTAAATTGTATTTAGGTTGCAAACACCTTCAGGCAGGGATGATGTTCCTGTTTTTTAATTGCATGGCCCAAAATCTGTGGGATCTCAATATCTGTTGCGAACTTTGTGCTATTGAAGCTCTCGCTCTTAACTCAATTACAACAAAGATTCATTCAAGCATCATTTTTTTCCATGCTTCCTCCATCTTAGAATCCATTACGAGGTATTCTAACATGGATTTCAATTTTTTGTTTAAAAGCCTTTATAATACTGTATTAAGCAAGGTTTAATTCAAGACATTTTTTCATTGATTTTTAAATACGTGCCTAAACCTTACTGACCTCAGGAGTTGCAATGGAGGTTCATGGTACACAGGGAACACAAATGCAGAAGGCATGCTGTGTAACTGAAATCCAAATTTAAAAACAATACATGAAAAAGAGAATAGAACTATAAAACTAAAGAAAATAATCAAATAATTGTGGAACTGAGATGCCAGGGTTCATATATGTAATTTGATTATGTTTTCTGCATCAACAATGTGGAAAAGTGCTGCCTAGGGAACTGTATTTTACTTATAGAAAAGGTAAAATGTTCCACTGAGTATTTCAATATTCAAAACTTTTTACATATAGACGGCGATTTTAACATTAATCTAAGAAATAGCTTTTGAGAAATACCCTTTTTCATATAGTTCCTGGATTTTGATTGAATGTTAATATTTTCATAGATGAAACACCTATTTAATCCTTCTACTCCCAGGAAGCATCAGCTTTTTTTTTGATAGATATTTGGTATGCCCATCTTAGTAACCTACAATAATGGAATCACCACACTTTTCCCAGGCAATGTGTTTCAGG